AAGCATAGTAAGCCAGAGGGTAAAGGGACTCTTCCACCTGAATTTGGCCACGTGATTTGCTTTGGCCAATGAGACGTAAAAGCAGAGGCTTGAAAGGTGCCTAGGACTGGGGGCTGGTCTTTCATTGCTGCTGAGACCACCATGGGAAGCAACCTGGGCCACCCTCCTAGAGGATGAGAGACCACACTGTCCCAGACAGTGCAGCCTTCCCGGCTGAGTCACCAGTCACGTGACTGAGGCTGTCCTACCCCATCCCAACTGAGCAAGCCCAGACCAGAAAACCACCCAGTCAATCCACAAAATCACGAGACACAAGTCACGCCACTATGCTCTGGGGTGGTTTGTTACACAGCAAAAGCTAACTGATGCACTGGGCTCCCCACCATGTCCCCTGGTCAGAGTCTCCATCTTGGCGACCCTCCTGGCCCCTCATTCTTTTAAGACCCTGCCTTTCTTTGCTAGCTATCTCACCTTCCCACCACCACCACAGGACTGAGTCTTCCCTCTGAATTCCAGTCCAATGGCCAAACACTTCCACATCCATGACCTCCCTCTCTCCTGACCACAACTCTGAGAGGTAAGTATAGTTATCCCCATTTCTCAGAAGAGATGGCTGAAGCTCTAGGTTGTCAGCCCTACTAAGGTCACACAGCCGATCAATGAATCTGACTTCAAACACTATTTATTTTCTTCTTCATCTCATGCAGATTAGTTCACAGGCCTCCGAACTGGCAGCTGTCCCCACTGATAACAGTTTGCCTAAATTTCTGAGTGTCATCTGCCTTTGATTCCTCACCGTGGCTCTGCCTGTTGTTGGAACACCTGCTACTGAGTCCATGTCAGTGCTCCCAGATGTCAACCACCTGCCAGGACCGCCACCTGCTTCTGTAGCCAACCCTATGGATTTCCAATCTGCCTTCAGATTTGACTTCCTTCAGAGCCTGTAACTCTCTGGGTTTGTCGCCACAGGGCCTGCTCCTCCCTGGTTCCAGATCTACCCAAGGCAGCCCCTCCCACACCATCTGGCACCTCCCCAGAGAGGAGAGTCAAGTCCGTGTCATCAGGGAAAGGGAAGGAGGTGAATAACTATTACACGGGTTTCTACATGGGCTCCACTCCTGTGGGTTTCTGGGCTTCTAAGCTTTTGCTGCTATATCTTTGATCAAAGTACTTTGTCTGATAGGTTAGAAATTGATCTCTGTATACATAATCATTAAAACGGGTGAGAAGGAGTAAGATGTAGGTCTGGTAGTCCAAAGCAAGTCATGTGGTCAAGCCCAGATTGAAGAGTGGAGAAACTCTACCTTTTGATGAAAGGACTGGCAAAGTTCCATTGCAAAGGGTCACATATATAGGGGTCGGAGGGATTTTTCCTGAGCCGACTCTTTGCAACCCCATGGACCATAGTCTGCCAGGCTCCTCTGTTCATGAGGATTCTCCAGGCAAGAATACTGGAGTGGACTGCCATGCCTTCCTCCAGGGGATCTTCCCAACCCAGGGATCAAAACCAAGTCTCCCACACTACAGGCAGATTCTTTACTGTCTGAGCCACCTAGGAGGTCCTTACTGGGCTCTGATGCTCCCTTATGGAGATTCATTTCCTGTTTGTTTCACAGCTAGATGGAGAGAACATTCCTGGAGAAGGAAGTTTACTTATGTAAACTGACACAGTACACTGGTAACTTTTCCATCAGGCTGTGGTCCCAGGACTAGGACATTGCTGAGCTCAGTGAGAAAATGACAGACTCAGGGCTCCCTTGGGAGAAGAATAACCTATCTGACATTTCATTGCCATCATCCTAGCACTGTGCCTGGCCTTGGTGAGCACGCAAGAGATATCTGTTGAATAGAGGACGGATGATGGAATGACCAAGTGAATAATAGAGCCATCCAGCCATCAATCTCACCTTTAGAGAGCTGTCAGATGGGTTCCAAGAGGCCACTAGAGAGGAGTGCTATGGAGGTGGGGACGGGGATGAAGGGTGTCCCACTTCGGAGGGTTCTGGCTAAAGGACCTTCTAACCCCGAGGTTCTGCATCCTGAGAGAGCCTCCTTATTTCACTGGCTGTCATATAGAAGCAATAGCTGGAGTGACTCAGAGATGGTGTGGTTTAATAAATCATAAATCCAACTGTGAAGTCAGCTTTGGAAGGTTATAGATGTTGAGGTTCAAATGCAGATCCTCAGCAATTCCACTGCCAAGTGTCCACCTTAGAGAAACTCTAACCCATGTGTAGAAGCAGATGGATGTAAGGATGTTCACTGCCGCACAGTGCTTAACAGAGACAAGTCAGCAACAGCGTACCTGTCTCTCAGTAGGGGAACCGGAAAACGAATACATGGGGCTCTGTTCACATACTGGGGAACTACACAACAGTCCAAATGAATATCTCTATGCATGTCAGTAACTATATTACTTACATGAACTAGAAATCTCAAAAACCATAGCTGCTTCCACTATCATTCCATTATGTAAAGTTCAAAAACACATATAACAGAGGCATGTAGTTTACATCTAAATACATATGTAGTCAAGATGGGCAAATATTCAGGGGCACGGTATCATCAACTCCAGGCACGGGTCACCTGTGGGCAGGGACAGCAGTGGAAATGAGGAAAAGGGGAGAGGCATTCACTGGCTCACACTTTTTATTTCTTAAAAAGAAAGAGCAAGAACTAAAGCAAACACGATCAGCATTCACATCCTGGAGGTGGGTACTATGTGCTTTTTCTGCACACTTTCTTGTATTCATTCAACAAACATTCAGTGAGGACCTATTATGTGCCAGGCACCATTCTAGGCTCTGGGGACACAGCAGTAAACAAAGCCGACATCACTGTCCTCAAGGAACTCATATTCTCTCTGTTTGAAACATGCATAACTCCTCGCTTTGATTTTTAAGACATAAATCCAATCCTTAACCACTGGCTGAGAGGCAATCTGCCTTTTTCCAATCTCCTCCAATCGGCTCGGGTTTCTCTTCCCCAGAACCTCCCACTAGTATCTGGTCCCCTTCCAAGCCCCATGCCAGGAAAGGTCACAGCTGTCCTGTGACAGTCCTCACCTCACCCTGGGGAAGACCCACCACCTAGCTGTACTGCCCTGCACCCCACCCTTGCCATCACTATCATCCAACTTCCTGGTCACACCCACCACCATTTACCGGAGACCCTGGGGCTGCCTCCAGTGTCTGCCCACCCTCATGCCTGTGTAGACACCCCATCCCACACCCGACCCACCCATTCCTAGAATTCTTTATCACCGATGGCATCTTTGCCCCCCATAGCCACATTCAAAATGTTATCACCCCCAGAACTGTCCTCCTTGGAAACCTTTCACTTCCCACCTCCCTCTCTGACCTCGGCCTTCTCCTCTTCCAGCTGTATACTCTCTCCCCAAACACTGACCCCAGAGAGCCCTCAGGCCTTTGCCTCCAGGTTCTCTCTGCCCTTCTGTTTCTTCCTGGCCACTCTCCCCTCCCCTCCCAGGCTCAGCCCCAGAAGTGATGCTCTGAGCCACTCTCACCTCTCCCTGCATCTCAGCCTCCCACAGTCCCTATTCAGCACAAGCCCTGGACCAAAGCCACCCTCAGTGTCTCTGGACTGAGTCACCCCCACCCTGGATTGATGATCTGGGGCCCTGTTGATCCTGCTCCCTGACTTTTGGTGGGTTCCCTCACTCCCCTTTAGTAATTATTAGTTGAACCTTCACTTCCAAATCCCACCCTCCACCCCCACTCCACTCAACCCCTGATCCTTAATATTCAGCTGAAGACCGCCCACCCGCCCTGAGAAATCTGAGCAATTAACACAATTCCCTGTGACTCCCAGCCTTGCCTCCAACACAGCTATTGGCATCCTTCTCACCTCCTCTCCTCCTCCTCAGGAAAGGGGTCACCCCCTCCCCTGGTCCATCCTTGCTTGTTGTCTCAGTTAAAGGCGGCACCAGCCCTTTCCCAGTACAGAATCCCAAGTGCCTGGCTTCCCCCACCCCTGACCATCCATAGCCAAGCACTGTCGATTTATTTCTTAAATATTTGTGTTATCATCCCCTCCCTCAAGAACTGTTACCACAGGTCTAATTCAGGATGATCCCCAACTCCAGTCTCTCCAACTCCAGTCATGACCCTCCAACCATCCTCCCTGTGGCTACCAGAGGGATGCTCCCAAAACATCCATGTGCCGTCATCACACGCCTGCTTAAAATCCACAAAAGACTCCAAGTTGCTCACAGGACATCACAGGACGATGCCCAAGCCCCAGGCACAGCTCCTAGGGCCCTTCATCAGCTGCCAACAGCTGCCGACATCTCCACAGCTCACACTCCCTGTCTCACACCTAAAGCTCCAGCCTCACATCAACAGTTACAGCCCCTGTATGTTTCTAGCTCTCTCACCTCTGTTCCTGTTGAAGTTCTTCGTGGCCTGGAATGCACTGCCCCTCCTCCTCAATCTCCAAGACTCAACACAAGCGACCCTTCCTCCAGGGTGGCTTCGCTGCCCACCCTGGGTTGGGTCAGGCGTCTGTCCTTTACCCTCCGCAAACACCTAGTCCATCTGCCTCTATCACGGCCATTACCAAAGTGGTTAATAACTTTCTCTTTCAGTGAGTCTCTCCCCTGCCTGGTATGCGGCAAGTGACCTTAGAAAGACTTCTGCACAAAACGTCCAGGGGCAGAAAGATAAGCAGGCTGAACTTCAGAGGTTCTACAGCACAGGCATGCTCATTCCCAACCAAGCATACGCTCCATAAGCTGGCAGTCACCAAACATCCATCCACATGGGCACGTCTCCACACTCAACAGTCAGGAATGGAGGTGGGCCCCCACCACCTGCAGTGGTTCAGATTGATCACCCGGGCATGGATGTCCATGCAAACCCCCCGCCCCAGGGTCACAGGTGCCACCTGCACCATTCCCAGCTCCCTGTGGCTAACATCCCAGCCCCTGCTATGCCTCCCAGGCGCAGTACCCTTATGTCCACCGCCCTGGAACACACTACCTTGGCCAGGGATCTCACTATAGGACTTTCCATAATGCCTCGAAGGAAGATCAGGTCCAGTTCGGCTGCTCCCGTGGCATTGGGGAGAGATCCCAGGTTGTCCAGGACTTGCTGCATGGCTGGAGGGAAGGAGCAGACAGTGAGACACACAGGCGCCAGCTGAGCACAGGGGACCCAAACACACCATAGGAACCCTACCCTCTTACCCTCCATCCCACAGAAGACAGCCCCTCCCCGCAGCACATCCTTCCCTGCCTGGCACTCCAGGCCCTAGAATGCCTGGGGCAGAGGCCCTAAGAGGGGAAGGACAATTTCCTTGGCCTTTTCTAGGCCCTAAGTAATACTAGCCTGGGCAGGTGGAAGGCTCCCAGCACCAGGAAGTGGACTTCGAGGTGGGAGAGGGGAGAAACGGAAGCAGACGTCAGGTTCCAGTTTTTGCCCTAAACCAGAGAACCACATCATTCAGTCTCTGGATGGGCTGAAGCCACAGGACTCAGCCACCCACACGTGGCAGGCTCAGGGGTGAGAGAGATGATGCTTGGAACATGTCGTTGGAGTGCGACCCTGGGGTCAGCAGGCCGCCATGCAGGAGGTCAGGGCCTACCCGCCATCCACTACCAACCGTGCCACTAATTCAGGGTGATTTTGCACAAGTCGCTGTCCCTCACGACCCTCAGTCTTTCCTTCATGTAAAATGGGTGGGTTAAACTGGATAGTATCTACAGGCCCTTCAACTCTGAAAGACAATGACCTGGAAATTAATACAGATCATAGGAAGCCAAGGCTGAGGCCCAGGACACTGGTAGAAGCTAGGGGAAATAGGCACTCTGGGGCTTGGGATGGCTGTGGACACCCGAGGGCAGAGGTCAGACCAAGTCATCCTAGGGATCAGCAAACCCTCAGCCTGGGATGGGACATCAGCAAGGGGAGAACACCTGAAGCTGAGCCATTGCTGAGGGGCTCAGCCTCAGGTAGGGGCTATCTTCCCCCACCAGCAGAAGTGGGAGCTACTGGCTGTGGCAGGTTCTGGGGGAAGGGAGGCAGAAGCAGAGTATGCCCAGCTGGGGGCAGAGATGGGCAGGGGGTATCATTACTCTGCCACCCTGCCACCCACGCCTACATCTGCATAACCCCCCAAGCTGGGAAGGAGGGGGTGGGTACAGTCCCTGGCACCTCTCACTGTTCTCAGCCATGCCCCCTCCTCCAGGAAGGAATGGGGGTGGGCTGGAGGAGACTCTGAGATTGGAAGCTGGCAGCCATTGGTCAGGGACCCTTGGCCTCCCACCCTTTTCCCTCTCATCCTCCTGACCTTTTCCACAAATGACATTCATGCCTGCCCTCCAGACCCCTCCTGCTCATGTCTGGGCTTGGCATTGGTCAGAAACCTGCAAGGTCCTCAGTGGCCTCAGAAAGAGGACAGGGCAGGAACCCTTCACACTCTGCCAGGATATCCTGGAACCTGCCTCTCCCGTCATCTTCACACACAGATTCCCAGCCTGCCAGCTATGGGAGGGGACTGAGCCAAGGGAGTTGGTGCCCTCAGTTCAGGTCAGCTCTCCTGGGGGACCGCGCCCCGAGATCCTTAGGCTCCGGAGAGCCCGCTCCTATGGTATCGTCTCCAGATGCCCTAAACCCCTCAGGACCAGACCCCAGCCTCGCCACTTCACCTTTCCCTACCTTCGCTCCGGAGCTCAGCTTCCTCAGAGGAGCCCAGGGATATACCCTCCAAAGAGGCCCCGCTCCCTGGGCTGCCGGCCATGGCTGACCCCCTCCGTGACCGGGGCTGTGGAGTAGCCTCCACGCCGAGGCAGCCTTCCCAGCCAGAGGTGGGCAGCGCTGGAGGAGGTGGGACTCGGGGAGCGCCCTCTGCAGGATCAGCCAATAGTAAGGCTCAGCCGCCTGACCACCTTGTTGATTGGCCAAAGCCCGACTGGGAGCAGACAGGCGGGAGGGGGCAGTGCAAGAGTTGGGAGGGGGCCGTGGAAGGGTTCTCGTCCCACGGTGGCCAGATTCCCGTTTGAATACCTACCACTAAAAGGGGAGGAGGCGGCTGAGGAAACGTTTCCGGTCGGGGGGTGGAGGTGGGGGTATTGTTAAGCTTGCCCCCATCAAGACTGGAGTGGTGCTCAGAGACCCTCCCCTCCCGGAAACCCAAGGTGGGTGGGGACTTGGCCCCATCTTATTCCAGTCCCCCTCTTCTAGAAGTCCCTCCTCAATTACACAGCTGGCCACCTCCTCCTCGAGCTTTCCAACCCCCCCTCTCGGTCCCCTCACCAAGCCCAGTTTTCTTTACAGTGACCCCCCTCAGGATCAAAGGAAGCCCCCAAGAATGACTCTCATGAGGAGCAGTGGCACAGCCCTCAGACCCCACATCTCAGGAGTAGCTTCTCCATCCCCATCTCCAATTGCGCCCCGCCCCACTTGCTTCAGGGGGCAATGCCTGTGGGCAAGTCAGGCATCTTGAGACTGGGGTACTGGGGACTTGAGAAAAGGTTAGGGAGTATTCATGCAGTAGAGACCAACAAGGGCAGGAAGGGAGGGGTTTTGAAAGCTACCCCAGCCCAGAGCCACCATTCCTTCCTCTGAGACCCTATACCCTTGAGGCCACCACTAGGCACTGCCGCTGCCACCAGACTGCCATTCCCTGAGGAATGGCACAGGGTCACAGCACACCCTGGTTGCCATGGCAGCAAGCAGGATTACACACTAGAACATTAACCCAGAGATTTAAAGGGACAGGTCCACCTGAAAGCCCCACATCCCAGCCTTAATTCAAAGAAAGGAGGGAACCCGGTGAAGAGGCAGAGCTTCAGTCTGGAGTCCAGGGGCAAGGGGTCTAAACTCTCAGCCCATGCCAACACCCACGCATCTCCAACCCTCAGGGAAAGAACTCCTCCACCTTACTAGAAATGGAGTTAGGGTCTCTCTGCAAGAGGAAAACACCCACATCATCTCGCTCCCTCCACGATGATAGTGGCCATATTGATATGTGGATCAGGGTAGAAGGACCCTGCTAGCTTCAATCTCTGCAGAGGCCAAGGCAAGGATCTCTGGGGGAAGGTAGAGGGGAGGGGGTGTGAACTTGACCTTAGGGGCAAGAGTAGAGCTGTCTATCAGACCCGTGGGAAGTGTAATGACCACCAAATGATAAGGGGCAGAAGCCACCATTAGAATTTTGAGGCCAGGAGCCAGTCCACCCCAGGGCAGGCACAGAGGGCCACCTGAGGGAAAGACAAAGCTTCTGGCCTTTAAGTCGCCCACCACCTCTTTACAGAGGAAGAAACGCAGCTTCCAAGAGGTTAAGCAACTCGCTTCTATCTTTCTTCCTTTGGATACAGAAAGCCTGTGACACAACACCCAGGGAAGCAGGTGCCCCAGGAGTCCTCAGAGGAAACAGACCCTCACACCTACCTCCTGAACTCCACTCCCTACCCTGTCCCCCACCCCACCAGGGCCCATCAAGTGGCCTGAAGCAGGGAAACCAAGGCGCTGGGTCTTCCCCTCCCTCTACACCCCTGCCAGGCACCATTAATGGGTTTACTGGACAGCCCCAGATTGACAGGCCTTTAATCACAGGCTCAGGGATGGGCTTAATTAACCCCTAAGCAGCTTACAGAGGGGCCGAGGCAGGCTGGAGCAGTGGGGAATGCACTGAGCCCTCCAAGGCTGCAGCAGCTAGGGGACATTGGGAGAGTCTGGCCACTGCATGGAGAAGAGGCCTTTCCTGGGGGGACAAGGGTGTCACAGTTTAGTTCTGGCCCATCACAGGAGCCTTCACTTTCCTGCTTCAGTTTTTCAGAGGGGAGGACACAGAGGAGTCAATCTAACTGAACTGGAAGGTCTGGAACATCTTTCAGAAGCAATAGCAGCGCCTAGAGAGAGGGAAGGGGCTACACGGTCAGGAGACACCCAGGTGGGGATCAAACAAGAACAGTTCACAGTTGTTAGGGCCCTCTGAGAGCCTGAGTATAGGGCACTTCACCTGTTGGGTCTCTGCATACACTCAGGGCACGATCCCTGAACCCCTAGAGTGGAATGCAGACTTCGTGCATAGAAGCCTTTGTCTATGATGAAGGCCCTCAGTTTGCATCAGATTCTCAGTAGGATTCAGGATCAATACAAGTTAAAAACACTGATCTCATCCCATCACCTCATTCCACAGATGGGGAAACCTAGGTCCTCAAAGCAAGGTGACTGACTCAGGGTCACAGGTTAAAGAGGTAATAACAACTCAGTAGCACAGCGTAATAACTGTGAATATCCCTAATGGTAACATGCTTTCCCTGTTACAGCCTTTGAGTTTCACATCACCTCTTGACAGAGAAAAGACACAGGCTCCGAGGATCTAAGCAGATTGTTCCTGAGGCTTCCTAGCTTGTCTGGGTGGCCCACAACCTTGCCCTAAAACTTCCTACAGAACTAAGCCAAGGCTTCCCGACCTGGCATTCTCCACAGCCTAGCACACACACACCCCCATGTGTTGGTCCACTTTACCTATCTGGGGGGCACTGCACTGTGGACGTCTCCAGAGCATGCATCCCCCTCCATGGAGGTGAGTTGTGCTCTGTCTCCAGCCCCACCCTGGGGCAGGTGCAGCAGGGTGATAGAAGTTGCCCAGAGGAAAGGCTGAGCAGCTGGATGGAGCAGCTGCAGCAGCGGTCTTACAGGGAGCTCCTACAGTTTACTGTAGGTCTTACAGTTTGCTCTTACAGGGAGCTGTGGCAGTGCCTGACTGTGCTCCCCAACCTGCCTGGAATCCTCTGAACCACTGATATAACTGACATCCCTACCCCTACTTCTTACCGGTCTCGGAGTTGGTGGCTGCAACCGGCATGGTGAAATCAGCAAGGGCTCCTGGAGGAAGGGAGAGAGGAGGTTGAGAAGGCAGAAGGGCAAAATAATGAGGAAGGAATTAGGAAGGACCTCCCCCTCAGGATGAGCCAGTGGCGTAGGGGAGAGGGTACTGCCCTAACACTAAACTATCCCATAGCTCTGGGAGGCCAAGAAGAGCAGACATGACTCGCCCATCTCTCCAAGGAGGAGGAGACAGAGCATCAGAGAGGTTAATTCATTTGTCCAAGGTCACAAAGCTAATAAAGAGAGTTATGGGGACTTCCCTGGTGGTCCAATGGCTAAGACTTTGGGTTCCCAATGTTGGGGACCTGGGTTCGATCCCTGGCCAGAGAACTAAAACCCACATGCCAAAACTAAAAATCCCACATGCACAACTAAGATTCGGTGCAGCCAAATAAATGAATAAAAATATTTTTTTTTAAAGAAAAGGAGAGCTACAATGAAACTCCAGGTTTTATGACTCAAAAAAAAATTGTTTCTGCCTACCATCTGTCTTTTTTATTTTATTTATTTATTTTGAGAGAGAGAGAGGATGGGGGAAAGTCCAGTGTGAGTAAAAAGGTAAAAAGTAAGAAAATGGGTGTTCCCTGACTTTAAGCTCCATGGGTCAAGAATCACATGTGTTTTATTTTACCTCTGTATCCTAGACCTAGCACAGTGAAGATGCTCCACAAACATCTGTTCATCTGTCTGGCAGAAATGATATCATACCTCACTAGGGCCTCTCTTGCTTCCTCTTTCTCCCTCTACCCCTTCTTAGCCCAGAGCTGGGACAAGGAGAGCAGGGGGCTCTGGGCAAAACCCATCACGGAATTTACAGACCCAGTTTCCATCCCAGGTTCTCCTGGAATGGGGTTGGATCCCTTATTCTCCAAAGAAGGGTGCAGGTGGGTAACCCACCATCCTTCATCCCTTTGCCTTTCTGGGCCTGTGACGCTGGAGAAAACCCTAATTCCCGGTTGCCATGACAACAGGAGGCGCGGTGGCTCCCAGCAGGGGTGGGGGAGTGGAAGAAAGCATCTGGCAGTGCCCACTTTAGGACTGAATGCTACTGGGCTCTGGGGGTGGAGGAGCCACGATATCACCTCCTCTCCCTAAAAAGGTCCCTAGAGTGACCACTACCTGATTTTAATGAAATCCTCTCTCCTCCTATCACCTTCCCAGGCCTGAGCAGGTCATCTGAGCTCCCTGATACTTCTAATTTCAAGTAGCAGAAATTACAAAAGTGGAAGGATGGCTCTCCTTCCTCCTAGATCTGCCCCTGATGACAAGGAAGAAAGGAGCTTTGGGGGAGAGGAAGGACATCCCCTGTCAGGCTAGCACCCAGGCTGGAAGCAATGCCCAGGATCCACTGCGCCAGCTAGTGCCCTGGGCACAACCCCTGCCACCCCTATTCCTAGAGAGCATCAGAGAGGGATCCCTTTCTCCCCACCCCCCAGCCCCACCCCCGGCCCGGCCCTCGTCCTGAGGACCTGGAACCTGCAGCTCTCTCCAGATGGTACTACTTACTCTCCCAAGTCCTACTTCCCCAGAGGGTGGAGGGTGGGAAGAGGCAGGGAAGATCCGGTCCCCAGAAGTCTTGCTCAGCCTGCCTGGGTTTTCTCCCTGAGGAGTCGGTTCCCACGGGCATTGGCTAGCTCTGCCCTACCCCCACCCAAGCCTCTGGGAGGGCGGGGCCGGCTGTGCCCACAGGAGAACAGCAGTGCCAGGCAAGCCGGCCTGGCTCCGAGTCAAGGTCCGGAGCCCAGGCAGCTGAGAACTCGCACCTCAGCTCCCAAAACCCTGGGCCCAAGTGCCCTCTCACCCCTATCTCCAGGCTACCCTCACCACCCAGGGTCGGCAGCCAATGTGGGCCCACCGAGAAAGGGGGAGGTTTCCTCCAAGCTCTGTCAATACGCGTACAAAGAGATATAGAGAAGAAAGGTCCGACAAAAGATCTTTGAAGAGCGACAGGTCGTGGGGAGGGGTAGACAGACTGAAGGATGGGGTCTAGTGGCCAGGAGAGCCTGTACGCACCGACGATCAGAGCTCCCGCGCCCCAAGAGCCCAGCCCTAAAACGCTGGGCGCTAGGACCTGGGAGGAGGGGGGTGTGTTGCGAGCCATCAAAGAAGACTCTCTGCGTGCGCGCCCGGCGGAGACTAGGGGATGAGGTCACTGAATGGCTGCACACCCCCCACCCCCGCCCGCGTCCTCACGCTCCCCGCTCTGAGTTGACCTAACTTTCTGGCCCTGACTCCTCGCTCCTGTCACCGACCCCTTCCCAGGTCTCCAGATCCTAGTCTTGGCCCCCGACCCAGACCCGCCCCCTCTACAACCTGGGAGGCGAAGAAGCAGCACACCCCCTTCGCAGGACCCCCTCCCAGGAGAGATTGAGGTGTTAGCCTCCCAAGGTGGCAGGAGAGCCAAGGGGACGCACACAACCTCCGTCTTGCGCCCCCACCCCCGGAAGAGCTAATAACGCGGTTCTTACGTAATGCCCGGCTCCGAAGTCCCCAGAATCCGCACAGTCCCCGGAGAAGCCGCACGGACACTCGAGCCCCCGCACAGCTCACCAGGCTCTGTGCCTGACGTCACTTAGGTGCCCTCACCGCAGGGGCGGGGGGCCAGTGTCCACAGGCAGGGAGGTCTGATCTCTCTCTAGGAGCCGGGAGAAAGGGGGAGTGGGGGCGGGAGGGTGAGAGGGAGAGAAGGGGCGGGAGGGTGAGAGAGAGGGGAGGGGCCGGAGGGAAGAGGCCAGGAGAGGTGTGACGCAGAGAAAGGGCCCCAAGTGCCGTGCCAGGACCAAGAGGTTCCCTCGGGTGCGTGCTGGCCCGGGGACCGGGGCGGGGGTGGGGGGGGGGGGGCGCCTACCTGCGCCGGGAGAGGCCCCTAGCTCCGGGTGGCTCCGGCGCAGCCCGGCGCTCCGCGTTTATTGCTTGTCAATCGCCACCCCGGCTCTTAAAGCGGCGAGGCCTCCTCTGAGCGAAGGGGCGGAGACCGAGAGAGGAGGTGAGAGGGAGGCGGATACCGACGCCGCGGGACCACCCGCAGGAAAGTAGCCTTTCCGAGCAGCTAGTGGGTAGGCGGGGAGGTGGTGACTTAGCAGGCACTACACAGCCCACGATTCCCCGACCCGCAGCTGGCTGCCTACTTGGGGAAGAAAGGACTGGGACCTGTACCCACTAGTCCCTCGGCGCCCAGCGATTCCCTTAAAAGGGCGATGGTAAGAGACCCGCCCCCTTCTCTCAGGTTAGACACGCGTTCCAGTTCAAGGCTTGCCTCACCTTTCCTCATTATCCTGCTTCCTAACTGGGTAAGGGAGCAGGAGGAGTTTAGGGAGACCCCTCAAGGAGCAGGAGACCCACCCCCATAGGACCTCAAACTCAGGAGCAGCTTTTAAGGATTCATTGGTGGATAACTGGATCCCAGACTCGCTAGGCGAATTTGCAAAAAAAGAAAAAAAAAGTGTTTGTGGGGAGGGGGGTCGCTGAGACCCTATTTCAAGCCTGGACCAGAGAGCTGGTCCATACCCCAGTCTACGGAATACAGAACAAGGTGATTCGCCATCCTTCTTCGTGGTTCCATCTCAAGAAATAAATACAAACCCAGTTGCCCGCCTTCACCCCAGCTTCTGGCTCCACTGTAGACCTGCACTTAGTTCTAGCCTTGGAGTACTGAAAGCTCAGCCCGAAGATTACGCTTCGCCAAGTGCGCGGTGCATTCAGGGTCAGCCGAGGTACTACTCTGGCCGCGGTATTCCTCGCCCTGCACCCTCTCCAACTGCTTTCTAGAATACGCAGGTCTCCTAAGATCAGAAATGCACTGCATTCTGGAAACTTGCTTGGAAATCTCAGAAACGGGTTTGACTTGGAAACTGATCCTGGAAGCAGGGGGTACTGGTCCCCTTGTTGCAGGAGACTCAGCTTGCCCTGAGCTCCGGCGATCATACGTTTGAGTATTGTTGTTTAGTTACTAAGTCTTGTCCGACTTCTTTGCGAACCATGGACTGTAGCCCGCCCGGCTCCTCTGTCCATGGGATTTCCCAGGCAAGAACACTGGAGTGGGTTGCCATTTCCTTCTTCAGGAAATCTTCCCAACCTAGGGATCAAACCTGCGTCTCCTGCATTGCAGACGGATTCTTTACCACTGAGCCACGGGGGAAAGCCAGGTTTTAGTATAGATAAAGAGTCTGCCTGCGGTGCAGGAGACCTGGGTTCGATCCCTTGGTCAGGAAGATCTCCTGAAGAAGGAAATGGCAACCCACTCCAGTATTCTTGCCTGGGAAATCCCATGGACAGAGGAGCCTGGCGGGTTACAATCCATGGGGGTCACAAAGAGTCGGACACGACTGAGCGACTAACACAAGCACACAACACAAGCCACAAAACCACTGCCATGCTCTACAGAAAGCCCTGAGGTTTTTCGGTGGTCTCCTCCCTTATTACTGAGCAAGGACAGGAAAGTTAGCTAGCGACCCCAGATGGCCGGGACTGGAATTACAGGCTTCCATCTCCAACCAAAGAACTTGCTGGAGCAAAATGCTATCTGCCCTCTCTTCTGCCTTCAAACCAAAAGATCTTCCTAATTCAATTTAGGAAGAAGTCCCCGGGAGTTCCCTGGCGGTCGAGTGGCTAAGACTCTGCGTCACCAATGCAGGAGGCCCGGGGTTCGATCCCTGGTCGGGGAAATAGATCCCACATGCTGCAACAAAGAACAGGAGTAGCCAAATAAATTTAAAAAAAAAAAAAAAAGTAGTCCCCTTCCCATCATGAAAGCTACCCTCCACTCTAGCCTGTCCACCTGGTATTTGATGGTGGGGAAGTGGAAGCATCTTGAATCTCTCCATAGTATTAATTACTTCTCAGGCAGGCAACTATTACCCCATAGCAACATACAGCAAACTTTTAGTTTCATTCAAGATCCCCAGAACAAGGATCCCTGATTTTGGCCTTCTAGGAAGATGGAGCCCAACTCATTACTCTTACCAGCCGCCTCCTCGCACTCCCCTGCCCCCCATTAGTCGGTCAGCAAGCATCTCTCTTATAAGGGCCTTATAGAATGCCAGCTCCTCACATCTGTTCAAGACCTTACAATTGATAAATTGTTTAATTCTCACAACAGCCCCATGAGGTTACAGAGAGAGGAGAAACATTTTCTGATACAGAGTAGAACGCTCTTATTCTGGTCCAGATAGGGTGCCAGCCTCACCGATACTGTCAGATACCAGCTACAGGGCCAGCATCAGTGATTCCTGAAGGTGGAGGTCTGGAAGGGGGTATGTCAGACACAAAAGCACTTTCTAGCGGTACAACTGAATGTCATAATCGACATTCATAATAGACACACATAATGTGTTCTAAGCAGAGCCCCAAAGGAATGAGGGTGTTACTGATGGGATATAGGGTAGCTGGGGCAGGAAGCAGGTTTGAGGGGTCCACAAGGCATTCCATGGTAGTTGGAGGCTACCCCCTCTGCCGGTGGGATGGAGGAACGGGGGGAGTAAGGAGAAATGAGGCGGTGGGGGTGGGGAGGAGACAGGTGGAAAAGGGAGAAGAATGAGTCCTCTTCCTCTGAGGTCTGTATTTAGCTCGGTCTTCTTCCCTGCTTCCGCCCCCGAGGTCACAACGGTGCGGGCAGTGTCTCTGCTTACCCTCAAACAGAGATATTCCTCTGGTGGATATTCATTCCAAGGCTTCGGGATTCAACGCACAGAAAGAGAGAAAATTCGGAGCGGCTGTTCTAAATTTTCAGCAGAAGTGAAGTGAAGTGAATTAAGTCCCTCTGTCGTGTCCGATTCTAGTCCATGGAATTCTCCAGGCCAGAATACTGGAGAGGGTAGCCTTTCCCGTCTCCAGGGGATCTTCCCAACCCAGGGATCGAAGCCAGGTCTCCCGCGTTGCCGGCGGATTCTTTACCGGCTGAGCTATCAGGGAAGCCCTAAAAGAGCCCGCGCTATATTGAGTGATGTTGCACTTCCGGTGATGACCAGCAGGGGCCGCCAACAGTTACCCCGAGTCTCTTTCTACACCCACCCGCTCCGATCCCTTAGCCCACTACCGCAGAAATTCACCAGTCTTAGACGTTTTAGAAGCCTTTTCTACTGTCTGTATCTCTCAGTTAAAACAAAAAAGTTTAAAACCATCACTGTAAGCATACTTATATTTATATATTATTATATGCATGCTACTGAACTATTAATATGAATATTAAAAATCACACTCAAAAATTCTAACGATTATTTTTAAATTATAAATAGAAGTTCCAGTATTTTCTTACCACACCCTAAAGGATCATCTGATGCACCCACAGGTGCACAGGTGCATCCCCCACTTCGGAAACCAAATTTCTAAAGAAAACCAAATTTCTATGAGAAAGGACGGTCTTATTCTGTTCCAGATAGGGTGCCAGCTTCACTGATACTGAGTCAGATACCAACTTCAGCACTAGCATAACCCAAGCCTCAAAAGGGCATCTGGACAGCTAGCTGTGGCCCCCCCCCTCCAGGATCAAACCAAATTCTCCCTGGAGAACCAAGTGTTCTGGGCCCTGACTCGCATCACAGCCTCAGACAGCCTGAAACCCCCTCCACCATCATCAATCACCCGCCAGCCACACACCAACCGGCCCTGCCCCCACATCAGATACCAGTC